ATAGTTATGAATCAAACCTCCGTGCCCTCTTGTCTGCACAAGGTGTTTTTACTATTCCAATGAACAAATGTTACCTACGAAATGAGTTTGGGGCTTTCTTCCCCTTTGTTCCTTTAGGGTCAGAATTAGTGAGGGATTTAAAAAACATAGAGTTGGGAAGAAAATATAGGATATGTATTCAGATATTTTGGCCTATACTTGTCTAGCCTTAGGAATATTTATAGGAGATTGAAATCAAGTAACTGTTGGGTGGTTATCGTGCCACGTGTCCCACGTAGCACCTCCCACCACCACCCTCGTTCTGAGTGGAGAGCCTCCACCTATCCAGCTCTTGATTGTGTTCATTATAACCGTTGAACGGTCCCCATCCAACCCAATGATGTTTTTATGGTTAAGTGTCGTGTTGGTCTCATAGTGGTAGACGGTCCCACGATGATAGACAACCCAATATAAATATAGAGGGTTTCATAGTGGTCGACAGTCCAATGTGGACGTAGAGGGTTTTGCAGCAGTAGACGGTCTAGCATGCAAGTGAGGAGCCTTGCAGGGGTAGACGGCCTAGCATTGGATGCTTTACGTAAAGTGCTTATTGAGTGTTCTTCACCTTGTTGGCTATCATAGACAATTATTAATGCTATCCAATATCAAAAATCAAGCAGCTGAATTTAATTTCCCTCTACTTTTATATTCTAAGACCAGAAAAAATTCAATTAATGAGATTTTTGCCATGTTCTCTTCCCTAGCAGATATCCCAAAAAATAAAGATTTATAAGCAGGTTTATCCATGAACTTAGAGCATGTTTGGCTAACCTTAAGTTCTATGTGGCTTTTTTTTCTAGCATTTAAGCTTAGCCAAACATGTAGTTTTTGACATGCTCGTAATTGATCTATGGACTTATAATTACTAAACTTTATAATACCGCCTAATGATTCTCTGAAATTCATTCTGCGAGTTGAACTCAATTGTACTTTTTATGATCATTTTTTTTAGTTGAACACTATGGTCATTACATTCTAGCTGATCACAAATTTAACCGTCACGCTAAATAAGCATGATATTAACTTAATCAGTGTCGCCATTGGTCTTTATGGACCAAAATGATTTCAGTGAATAAATGGTAAAAATTAAAGCTTAGTGACTCAATATTGACGATGAAGATGTGACCTTTCCATAACATGGCTATAAGTTCAAGAACAAACTTAAGTTTCTAAATAAAAAAATTGTATTCTATATTAATAATATTGCTGAACTTTTTACGCAGGAACAGATAATTCAGCTTTCACAAGCGATGCCTCCCATGAAGACTGTAGATTTCTTTTGGAATTGTTTAGGCGATGAAGTGGAACAGAAATTCTTCTTCAAACTCTTGGTTGAAAATATGCAGTCAGTTAAATCGTCAGACAGGTTAATTTGCAACTCATCTAATTGGTTGGAGCCTGGGACATTTGCATCATTTCCAGACTTTTAACCCATAGGACTTCATCTGGCAACTTCTGGCAACAAGACTCAGGTTTTCGAGAAACAATATTAAGCTATAAAAAATAGAATGCATATGATTATTTAAATTAATTATATAGGGACAACATAAATATTTGAATTTTGTCTTCAACAGCTTGCCTCTCGTGGCTTGATCAACAACCACGTAATTCTGTCATCTATGTTGCATTTGGAAGTTTGACAGTATTTGATCAGAATCAATTCAATGAACTTGCTCTCAGCCTTGAACTCACCAAAAGACCATTCCTGTGGGTCGTGCGAGAAAACACAACTGAAGACGTCGACAATGCATACCCAATAGGGTTCCACGAAAGAGTGCACAATTGGGGGCGGGTGATGGCTTGGGCACCGCAGCAAAACGTCCTATCCCATCCTTCTGTTGCCTGTTTCATTAGCCATTGCGGTTGGAATTCCACCATCGAAGGCATAAGCAACGGAGTCCCTTTTCTGTGTTGGCCCTATTTGTCGGATCAAACGTTTAATCAGAGCTACATTTGTGA